AAGCCATTCATGCGCCCATTTTGAAACAGTATTAACATCAGCATTTATAAGATCGCAGTTAACACAGGTATTATACACTTTCAGATCATCTGCAAATAATGTAAATGGACACATAATAACTCGGGCAAGATCGGCTATATAAATAGTAAAAAGAAGGGGCCCCAGAACAGAACCTTGTGGAACTCAGCTTAACACCTCTCGTTGAGAACTAAAGGAACTGCCAATTTTTACCCTAAAAGTCCTGTAGGATAGAAATCCTTGAATCCACCTTAGCAAAGAACCCCTGATACCAACACTTTCCAATTTATGCAACAGACGGCGAGTGGGAACCTTGTCAAAAGCCTTGGAAAAATCAAAGTAGATAACATCGACGGGATTGCCGTTGTCTAACTCTCTACTCCAATCATTGACGCTACAAAGGAGGTTACTGGATACGGACCTGCCAGGAATAAATCCATGCTGTTGAGAAGGAATAACTTTATTGTCCAGAAGGAACTCCATCATACGATCGTTGATGATGGATTCCATAACCTTACCAACTGTAGATGTTAAACTGATTGGACGATAGTTTCCGGCGTCAAGTTTATTACCTTTCTTGAAAATTGGTTTAACTGTAGCTACTTTCCAGTCTTCCGGCACCTCCCCGCTATTTAGAGATTGACGCATAAGCAAACTCAGTGGACTTGCTAAGGCAGAAGCACACTCACTCAAAATGGCAGCGGATATCTCATCAGGTCCGGGAGATTTGGTTTTCTTTAGCTTCTGCAGCTTCACACGGATCTCATCCTCAATAAAATCAACACTAGATAAAGATACAATACATTGAGGCGTTGCGATATCTGGGGGACTATGTAACGGTTCTATGGTGAACTGATTTGCAAACGAGTCAGCGAAAACGTTAGCAATATCTTCATTTTCCGTGATTAGAGTGCCAACAGAATCTTGACTTTGAGGTGTCCTTACGGATCCACCAAAAGTATCTCGAATATATTTATAGAAGCATTTTGGGTTTTTACTGTTAGCAAGACGAGCTTCATAAGCCACCTTGGAATCTTTAATCTTCGATGCTAATAAATTAGAAAACGTCCTATGAGCTGCATAATCCATCTTTTTACCTGTTCGTTTGTATGTTTTCCACAAGATTTTCTTGCGCCGAACCATCTGTAATATCTGGTGGTTTATCCATGGTTTTCTAGCCGATCGGGTGAATGTTCTAGATACAGAATTTTGACTAGACAACTCAAGTAAATGTGATTTGAAGACTTCCCAGTTTTCCTCTACGGTGTCGTGCATTAGTAATGCTTCCCAGTTAGTTTCGACCAAATCATTTTCTAACATACGATAATTAGTGATCGACCGCGTGAATGAAATTAAAATAAATAAATAAATAAATTTTTATTGACTAACAGAACAAAGTTCCAAAATAGACAATAGTTTTAAAAAAACAAAATATGAAATAAGATGTCCTAATAACTACAAACGTCTTAAATAATTATTAAACATATGTTGCGAGCAACTGAAGATATCTATATCTACTAAGTTATTAACCGCCAATCCTATTCTATTTACTACAGAAGTGTTGTAACCGAGATTTGTTCTTTTAAACGAACATAAGATTGTGTCCTGGTTCCTAGTATGTACCAAAGGTACTCTAAAATTAAATAAGGATAAGAATTCGGCACTATCAATTTGATTATTGAACAGTTTATATGCAAACTTAAGTTCAAATTTTAACTTACGCTGTGTAAGAGTCTCTAGTTCTGTTATAGCAAGTCTTTGATTATAATTGTAATTTGATTTATTGAGACTCATTTTAAACATTAAATAATTACAGAACTTTCTTTGTACCCTTTCGAGGCGAGTTTCGTGAATTGCATATGAAGGAAACCAGATAAGAATGCCATATTCTAAAATTGGTCTAACCATGGTAATAAAGAGCTTACGAATTGCTATGATGCTATGGAAATCTGCAGTCATTCTTCTTATGAAACCACTAACTCGAAAAGACTTATCGATTACATAATCTATATGCTTAACAAAACTTAAAGTCGAATTAAAAATGATCCCCAAGTCCCTAATTTCACTAACAGCCTCCAGGATTTGGTTGTCAATGCTATATGAAAATTTTATAGTGGATTTTTTCCTGGAGAATGTTATTTGTTTACACTTTTTGTTATTTAATTGCATGCTATTTTCACTACACCAGTTGGTTATTTTTATAAGAGTATATTGCATAGCTTGACAATCTGCAAGGTCGTTAACTTTAATGAATATTTTAAGATCGTCCGCAAAGAATAAAAATCTAACAAAATTAAGTGATAGTGCCAGGTCATTTATGAATATTAAAAATAAAATAGGACCGATGTGACTGCCTTGTGGGACTCCCGAGGGAATAGAAATAGCATCTGATAAAAAGCCTTTAACTGAGATTTTTTGGGTACGATTTAATAGGTAAGAAGCTAACCAGCGATGAAGAGAACCTCGTATGCCATAAATCTTTAATTTCTTTAAAAGAAGGGCATGGTTGACTCTGTCGAAAGCTTTACAGAAATCTAGATATACAGCGTCGACTTGAGCTGCCTCCTCTAAAGCATCAATGATATATTCATTGTAGATGGCGAGATTTGTTATTGTGCTTTTTCCTGGCAGAAATCCATGCTGATGAGGTGTCAAAACCTTTGCATAAGATCTAGTTAATGTATCACTGATGATTGCTTCGAGACCCTTGCATAAAGCTGCTATAATCGAAATAGGACGATAGTTTGTAACATCTTTTTTGTCACCTGATTTGTACAAAGGTATGACATAAGATTGTTTCCAGATGTCTGGGCATGTACCAGATGTCAAAGACTTACTATATAAAATCCAGATTGGCCAGGCAAGACTGGAAGCACACTGTGTTAAGAAGAATGAAGGAATACCATCTGGTCCAGGATTAAAACTAGATTTAAGGGACAGTAATTTATTTTTTACTTCATCGATGCTGATATCTATGTCGTGTAAATCGATATTGTTGTTGACGCTTGAAAGGCCTAGTGTCATATTAGGGTCGATAACATCCTGATTATAAACAGACTTGAAAAAATTGGCAAACATATTGGCAATGTCTTTAGGTTTTGAAGAGCAGATGTCACCAAAATTCATACATTTGGGAAAATAAGCTTTGGAGTTTTGACTTTTGGAGTTGATAAAACTGTAGAAGATCTTCGTATTATGATTTAAATTGGTTTGTATATACGTTAAGTATTTTTTATAATCATTTTTGATTATCCTATTATGAGTAGGAAAGCTGACTTGTAGGTTGGCCATAATCGTTACATGATCTGATTTACCAATCGGACTAGTAAACTCTAAATTAGAGAGCAGGTCGGGGCTGGAAGAAATAATAAGATCTAAAACCGAGGGCTGTTGATTGACTCTATACCTGGTTGGTTGAGTAACTAGTTGACACAAGTGAGAATCGTTTAACACATCCAATAACAACTGATAAGAAGGATTCGAAGATACTAGCGTTGCTAAAGGCCAACTCAAGTTAGGCATATTAAAGTCGCCAAAGATAAGAAGGTTAGTATAATCGTTCGCCAAGTTAGATATTATGCCAAAAAGTTTGGAAATCACTCACAAAATCAGTCGACGGAGCCCTGTAAATACAACCCAGAGCAAGCGTTAAGGAACGGTTAGAAAGCTTTATAACTAAGGACTCGATGTTTAACGTAGGTGTACCTATGATAGTGATTGTGAAGTTAGACATCACATGGTCAGATACATATATACAAACTCCTCGTCCTCTACTAAATTGCCTATCTTTTCTAAATAGATGATAGCCAGACAATGATATTAAAGCAACAGGTAACTTAGGGTTTAGCCACGTTTCACTAACTAAAATAATGGAAGGCTTATTGACTAAAACAAAAGCAGAGAACTCATTAAACTTTGCATATAACGACGCGGTGTTACAGTACATAAGAAGACACAAAAACAAAGAAGCAGAGGGTTCAGTGGCATCCATGAATTTGAAGAGAAAAGAAAAAAAAACAAAAAAAAAACTAATAAGTATCTGGATCATTGTTACTCTCCATACTACAAGTCTGGTGGCGGGCATAAACCTTTTTAAGTTTCCGCTGTACTTTCAAACAACGATTTCGTATACTGGTATGAGCAAGCGAGGTATAAATTTGATGAAGTTCATCCAGAAGGCCGACAATGTCACTAGTGTAGTTAAAAGCAATGGTTAAAACGTCAGATTCACCTACGACATCTTCCATAAATTTAACCAATTCGGAAAACTCTAGAACAAAAGGCGGATCGGCTACTTCACATAAACTACGCGCAGGTTCCAATAATTCAAATGTGCCCGTCAAACTCTCGGTGGAATCACTGGTTCTAACCTTTTTAAACGCTCGATCAAAAGAACTGTTTTCACTGCTATGGATCGAATGTTCAGCCTCAGGTGACTCAGCGGAAGAACTTGATCTTTTGTTTGCGGATACTTCAAGAGAGGGTCTAGCTTTTTCAGGCACGTGTTCAGTTTCCATTGTTTCATTTGTCAGCGCATTTGCGTTTCTGGTAGTAACTTCATCTTGGACTTTTGTAGGTGTAGGCTTATTCAAAATGTTGGGGTCTGTAATTTCCTGGGGTTGGCTGGTACATTGGCTGGCTATATGACCAGTCAAATGACACTTAAAAGAGTATTAGACTGCATCTATTCTAAATGATGCACGTGTCCTTCCAAAAATGTTGATGACACAAAATTTTATAATGGAAAAATTCACTTAAAAAACGTGTAGTACGCTTCTTTACTTTTACTTGAACATTACATACACATTTTTTTTTTAACGTATAAGGGTGATCATAAAAAAATAAAATTCACAAAATCAGTTTTTATAATTTTTCGAAACAACTGGATTTGACGTTGTGTCGAAATAATCACAGCACAGCCATGTTATTTGGCTGTAGCAGATACTTCGAAATTTAGAACAAAAATGTACCATAGAACAAGCATGTATAAGTTTATTAAGAACGTTATGTGTCAAGGTTCGGAAGGTTATCTGCCTACACTTAATTCAGGTTATTAATAATTGAATAAGTTCGCATTACTTCCTTTGGTAAATGATTTTTAGTTAATGTTCCTCTATTCATGGAACGTAACAACTATACGTAGAAAAACTAGTCGTTGCTGACTTTGTTCGTGGGTTGTTTCCAGCTTTTGACATTAACAACGTAAACATAAGTACAAGTTTTTCTTGCTATAAGAAATCATGTCACAACACGATGATAAAAACGTTTGCACAGGTAAAGTTTTGAACTTATTAGTTGTATTTTTTTATTAAGACAACATTTTGAAACGATTTTGTTACACTTGTTAAAGCACTTTTAAACTCAGTTTTTCAAAACTACATGTCTACATTTCTAGCTTTATATACGTCAGCGATTAGTACTTCCACACATTTTCTTTATGTTTTTAGATTTGTATTATAAAATTCTAATAAAAATTCAATTTCATTATTTGTGGCAATGCTCAAAGTCCATTTTTGTTGCATCTGCATTTTTTGTTTTAATTAAATATGCAATTCAACTCAAGCTTAAAGTGCGTTATACATAGGTACGTTTAATTCACTCTTAATTTTTGTGGTTGTTACAGACGATGATCTACATACGCTTTACTTCTTATCGATAAAAATATTCGAACACAAATTATTCGTAGTGATGAATTCTGTTTTTCTAGCGGTGTACGCAACAGCATTGCTGGCTAATACGTACTTTTTCTTTAAAGAATTCAATACGGAATTTTTCAATCAGTACATTTCGGTGTATATGGGTGTAGTGGCGGTAAGTTTTCTAAGTATAAATATCAATCCCACGCATTTGTGATTTTAAAATTAGTTGTGATTGTGTTGCAATCAAATAACGCCCAATGTTGACCTTTAAAATTATTTTATTACGCAATGCACTTTTAGAGTGTAATTATATACGCCACTCTGTTATGGAAGCAGCCCATTTTAAAAAAATTTGAAGAATTTTGTCGACCACTAGCGTTTCAACGTATTAATATTACGAAAAAAACAAACAAACGCATAAAGAAGGAATCCAAACATATAGTACGTTTTATTAAATTTCACTTGACTTTTGTTTTAATATCTGCGTGTATTCTCATCCCCGTTGGAAGGCAACGGAAATTTCAGTTTATCATAATATTTTTTCATGATTATTGTCATTTGTACGTCTTCGAGGCACTTTATCTGCTCAGTTATCCAATAACTGGCTATATGTTCGTACGATTAGCGTACGCTCTTCTGTATTTTGTTTCACATCTGAAATTTGAAGTTTACAAGATACTTGATATTATGGAACACGTTTCTGTTGAATATGATTACCAAAGTGATAATGAACTACTTGAATGCGATGAATATCAAAAGATCGTAAAAGCAAGACTTCTGTTGGTGATTACCAAACTGACCCAATTGGCAAGGTATGAAACAAAATTTAAACGATTATTGAATATTATAATTTATTTTGATAGAATTGCTGATCTAGCGTCTATGATAACTGCACAGTTACTACCACCATTTACTATATCAGCAGTACTGATGGGACTCAGCATCATGAATCTCTTCTTCATAGTAAGTGATCAAAACTATTCATGACATCGTGCATTTTTATACATTGCAGCGAAATATTCTCGGTTACTGGAGTTATTTGCAAGTTTTCCTGTGGTCTATTGGTTCAGCGTCGACTCTTATAATGTACGCACATTGTGGTCAAGAATTTGAGAACAACGTAATTTGTTCAGATCAAATAATGAATGCATTAATTAATTGGCTTTTTTGTAGACAGAGAAGGTGTTCGATGCCATATATAATACTCGCTGGACTTCATTTAACAAAAGTAATAGAAAAACTATTTTGACTACAATGATCATTTTTCAAGAACCAAAGAGTCTTAGATTTACTGATGCTCTGTCTTGCAATTATGAACTCGGGGTCCGGGTAACATGATATTTTTTGTCTCAATGCATCTACACGTATATTATTAATGTTCTTATTTTCAGATTTCAAAGGCTATCTATTCTTTTGCTGCTATCATGGCTAGGCTTAGCAATTCGCAGGAAATTCGATAATTTTTTCTTATTGCCTTCACATAAGTAGGTAAATTGTTCTTTTAACTATTTTAGGTATTATTGTTTTTCTATGCATTTAATATATGGAAAAATGTAGAATATAATATCCAAGTCAAATAAAAGACGTAGTGTATGTTCATTTTAGACAAGATTTTTCCAATTTTTAACAATGTTACTATCTTTTTAGGCTTCAACTGCAACAGCTGTTAGCTGTCGACTAGGTCAGGGAGGTCGGAGGGCTCACCGTTGTTGTTTGTTATCTGTATAGGTCCCAGTCACTACCACACACACGAAGGTGGAATCTTAGCTCGGCAAGTCGAGTTCAAAAAAGCCAAAACGTATTGAAAATCGGACCTTACAATAGCTTACGAGGGTTTTTTTTCTTCCTGGAAACATTAGACAGAAAACACTTTCCAACATTCCAGCTGGAAAGAATTTTGCTGGGGTGAACATAAGGTCAACCTAACTTCAACGGTTGAACGAGCTGTAAAATTAGACAATCTGCATAACATACCAAAATATGATTCTGGAAAAGGACGATGAGGCAGTCAAGCCAAAATGCAATAATAGTTACGAAGGTTTTGATTACTTAGTACTAGTGTTTAACAGCATTGGATATCTTCGAATGGTCTCATCAACTGCATTCCATTAGAAATTTCAAAGTCAATATGTTAAAACACTGCGTCGTAAACGTCAGAAATGGGGTAAACCGATGTAAATGTTTTTGACATTAAAAAACTTTCCTTGTAATACAGAAATGTGCTTTATTGGAATTGTTTACAACACAAAAAATTGCCTTCTTGGGAAACATTTTTATTTATGCACAATTGCTAAATAAAGAAATTGTCATTTTACAACCAACTCAAAGCATGATAAATTATAAGTATTGCAGTATTTGCAGTTAATCTTATTACATGACACTTTTTGCGTTGTTCTCTTTCGTGCGCACCTCGACTGTGAAAAAACGACTTTCATACTTGACCTTCAAACAAACTTTCTTTGTCACAGCGCTAAAAGTTTCTTTCTTATTCTGATTCGGTGCTTCGTCATAGTCTCATGTCCTGGGATCGTTTTCAGTTAATTACAGGAAATTTTGTGGTTCACTTTTTGTACCTTCCGAAGTCTTTGCGCTGATGTGATAACTATATCAACTGATAAATTTAAAACGTTTTTCTTCTTCTTGAGCATTTCGTCCTCACTTCATTGATCTGTATTTACCGAAGTAAATTTCGCGCAAGTAATTTGGTTGATAGACATATCTGTGCTGATGTTTGTCGTAGTTGCCTAATTTCTTTTTCTAGGTTATGTACTTTTTTTAGTGTACCCTGCATTGCTTCCGGAACTGCCTTCTGGAACAAATTTTCAAGGACTATGACATTTATTATCACAGATTACTTAACACTGCCATCACTAGCACCCTTCCGATTTAGTACTTACCTACTTCTTTTATGTTGCATTTTACTTAGTTACTAGTTTTTTCACAGTTTTATATTTCTTGTACCTTCGTGTAAAGTACTCTACTTTAGGAGCACTAAGTTCAGGTAAATTCTTCTTTACGAGCGAGGAAAGATTTGTACACAATATCTAGAAGAATTTTTTTGGAGACACTAGCAAATTTTTATTACGTTTTGTAAAATATCAGCACTAATTAGTTTGTTATAAATTTACTAAGATTTACTAAGAAGTTGTTTTAAGAATCCGATGGCGAAGTTTAAATGTGTGCTTCATAATAACTCGTTTAAAATGTAAATCGAGGATTATAAGGAATATCGATTATTAATTAAGGAAAAATTACTGAGTCGATGTTATTGTCAGTCAAGGTTAAGACAAGCATTTGCTGGAGAATCGATTACCTCTTTTAAAAGAACACGTGATTGATTTAGTCGAAAATATTCTGATTAACGAATATGAGTTAAATTTCGGCATCCTCCAGATGTTTTTAAAAATACATCAATCCACAATGTTAAAAGTGCCATCTCTATACATCAACATGGATTTTTACCTGGACGGTGGACAATCACTAATTTAGCTATAATAACTCAATTCATTTCTGAACAATTAGATAAGAATGGACAAGTCGAAATCATCTGTACTGACTTCTCTGGTGCATTTGATTCCGCTGATCATTACGTTCCTTCTAGTAAATTAAGTTGGTATGGATTTGCATAGTTCCCGAAAAAATTTTCTATAATGGTTTTCAATTTTGTTTCCACCTTTGGGGTACCACAAGTTTAATTTAGGGCCTTTACTTCTTGTGGTGTTTATCAACGAACTTCTGGACTTATTACATTGTATAGTACTAGCCTATGCAGATGATATAAAACTATACTCTTCGATAAGCTGCTTAAATGATAACAACTTGTGTCAAAATAATTTTGAAAGGGTGCTGGTGTAAACAATTCAATTCGAGTTGATATTAAATATCGATAAATTTTTCATTATGACTTATACAAAAAAATTACATCCAGTTAGCTTTTTGTATATTATAAACGATGAATCACTTAAAAAAAAGAGTTTGTATAAGATCTGGGTTTCACATTTGATTCACATTTATCGTTTACTCAACATATGCATAATATGTGTTTATCTTCTCCTAAAATGCTTGGCTTTAGATTTAGAACTATAAAAGATTTTACTGACTTATTTTTATTAATAAATCGAGGGTGGCTCACCCTAAAATTTTCGTCGTAAGGCAGAGGATGATTTTTTATTAAATATTCAACTGAATTCATAATTTTTATTTTAAATCCAACAGTTTCACTCGCACAGAATGAAAATAAAATCCCGTAGTTGAATTATTAAACTGATAGCGGTTACTGTTTTAAATGTGCCCCGATTCCAGTCAAATACAGCGACTAGAGGCGCGGTTTCCATGGGAACGGTGTAAACAAAACGTCTAAATGAGCCATGATTTGGTCTAGGTCTCCGTTTACAACATCTTTAGATGTAAGTTTTCATACATTGATATAAATGGAGCGAGATAAAGAAATTAGTTTTGATAGTTATGACATAAAGTTCCGGATTATTTTTTGTATATTGAAAATTACTATTTTTCCATGTCAAGTGTGTTTATGAACGTTGAAATTTTGTGGGGGCACGTGTCCTGGTTCCCCCTGGCACCAGCCGCCCCTGGCAGACAGGGTTAAGTGCAGTGGCGGCTTGTCCATAAGGTCGTTGGGACAATGCCCCCCCAAATATTTTTACGAATAAAAAACATTATTTTTTTATTGCATATTACCCCATTTATTATTTAATAATTTATTTTTGATGATTTTTATCCTAAGCGAGGAGTAGATCCCGTCCACGTCCAAGCGCGATATGTTAACTCCGCAAAGAGACCGAGGTTTCCGTGCAGTCGGATTTCAGATTCGACTCTACAGTCGCTTATGGAGCCTCATAGGATATGTGGAAACTGCATTTACGTAAGACAGAGATAGGCTTTACCGCGATTCAACATATCAGACAAGGTACATAATATGCTCGCCATACCTACAATGGTGTCGACGGCCCAAGATTGGCACGCTTCCGATTTCGTACCAACACCGCTAACCGATTAATTATCACAGTAGAACAGTGTTTTTGTTACATATGTTTTCTAAAACATGGTCGGAAAGGTAATTTTGTGCTGAACAATTCTCAAAAGAGGTAATATACCCATGTCGTCAAAAAAAAAAATTAAATTTTTATTGTCGTCCAGTGAACAATTAGAAAAATGAAGTGAATTCTAATTTTACATAGAAAAACGCGCAAGAAGCACTAAAAAATTGTTCCACAGATTTCTTTCTACAGATATTTAATTATGTCTACGATTAGATAACCTGTTTAGAATATGTAGAAGGATCTAACTCTTTATAAAAGCCTCAGGTATTTGGAAAGAATGGGTACTTGGGTCTTTCTCTTAAATCTTTCTTCGACTTTTTTGATTTCTCGATGAAAAAATTATCAGCAAAGAAATTTAAATGAGACATAATTTGTGGAACGTTTGTTTCCTAAAAATTCACTGATCACTAAGCTAATGGTTTCCCAAGTAAATTTTTCCGTATCATTCAAATAGGCGTAGAACATTTGATCCTTCATTCGAATTTCAGGCCCAATGAAAATTCCTAAATATAGAAAACGTACATAATATGAAAACTGAAATTCACTGTAATATTTTAGTTTTTACCCTGGTTTATGTTAGCACCAGAAAGCTTAGGAAATATTGTTTTCAGATGTTGAAATGCTTTCTCTCTTGTATTTCACTTGCATAGGAAGCACATATGCTTGGTATATCCAGATTTGAAGCCAGTTACTAAAACTACAATTTTTAAATCGTCTATCAAATTGCTCTCAAACTTTTTGTCGTTAATACAGTTTAACAAGTGTTGAATATTCTCATATGTTTCTGTAGTTTGTATGGAGTATGCAGTCGGCAGTACTAAATATTTATTTGCATTATGCAGTAGTACACCTTTAACTGGAACTACCTATGAAGAACATCTCCAAAAGAAAATGTTTTTTGACGACGTAGGCATAATGTCTTATTAGATAGTTATTCAGCACAAATTAACCTTTCAGAATACATTTTCAGAATGCTTGTAACAAGAAATTTTTCTAAAATTGTTCGACTGTGTTATAATTACGAACTGGTAAAACAGCATTTCCAGCAATTATCATATGCATTGATTTTGTTTTTTGTTGTGCTGCAGTAGCAGTCTGTAGTTGGAACATTTTATAAGCAGTGCAACTTAGCATCAACTTTTTTAAATCTTATTTGACCCCCCAACCTCTAGCCGCCACTGGTTAAGTGAACCGAATGCAGCCTGATATATCTTAATACCTAGTATTATAACATTCATTTAACAATTCCAGATATGAATAACTTTGATATTAAATAATTTTATCCATCACACTAATTTACTCTACGTGCTTCAACATTACTGGTTAATCCAAAGTAAGAGTACAGCCATTTTACATTTATCTTTAGCGGTTTATGCTAGAGATGAATAAATAATAAGTTA